AAAAAAAAAAAAGTTTTGCTTTCAATAGGCTTTTTACTCCAAGTACCCATATTTAATAATTTAATGTTTCATTATTATGTGCCAGAGCTTACCAGTGTTTCTTTAGATTATGTTAACCAGATTTCATTGCCTTCAAACTCTAGGTCCGAAAAATACTTTATATTCTCATTTATTTTAGCTTATTTTTCTTGCAACCATTTCTTTTACCAATTAATATATTGGTCACTGTTAGTTGTAGGCAACAGAATTCACTTTAATTAGATTTTTGAAGAAAATAATAAGCAGCACACAGAATTTCTAGGAGTGTCTTAGGATTTGAATGATAACATAAGATAATACACTTAGGATAAATGTCCAACCACAGCACAGGATTGTTCTTGTTGAGCAAGAAAAGAATTTGGCATCCCTCTGAAAGATATCTTTCCATCTACACTAACATCTGACTACATCTTTACACTAATGTCCTTAAGAAGTTGACAGTGGATCCTATTTCACTGATGTTTTACAATATCTTGAACTTGGGTAGAAAAGAAAAAAATATAATATGTATATATATATATATATTATATAGCATATATAAATATGCTAAATGCCTCTTCCTCAAGCCCTGATTTCCTTAAGGAAGGTTCAAAACTTGGTTACTTTTGACTCTTATATCTCGTGTGAATGACCGTTTGGTGGACCCTGATCACGTGACAAAAACAAAACTATTGGTGTTTCTAGGAAATACAGAGCATTATAACATCCATAATAGAAGAAGGATTTATTGGAAAGATGAATAGGAAGCTCACTGAATTGAAGAAAGTGATGAAAACCCCTGAATAATAGAAAAAAATACCCCTATTATACTTGACAGTTCCCTTATATAATTCTTTTGCACTTAAAAAAAAAATATTTGCTTTAACAGTATGAAATACCTGAAGTAGCCAGGTGCCTCTGAGGCCTCAGGCTCTGAGGGGTAAGAGGGCCCTGTTGCTGCTCTCCATGTGGCCACCACTGGCACCGTGGGAGGGATGTCACCTGGTTACTGTTGGGTGATGCTGAAAGTCCTAACTCTCTCTTTGGTCTCCTCTGACACCATAACCGCAGGCAGGAGAAAGGTTGCCTCATCACTAGTGGGTGGAGTTGAAAGTACAAGCTTCTCAAGTGGTCTCCATTCATACCTTGGATGGTGGGAAGGAAGCTTGTTAACATTTGGAGGGGAGGAATTTCCTGGTGTGGATCAGAGTGAGGCCACAGTTGTTTCTGTGGTATTGCCCATAGCAGAGTAGTTATTGTCTGAAAGTTTTCTGTCTTCTGAGGCTGCTCCTTTCCTGTCCTTTAGATACACAAGATAGTTGTTGTTTTTCTGCTTCCATTGGCATTTCTGGGTTATGAGCTTTTCCAGTGTCCAGTCTAGAGCATTTGAGGCAAAAACAAAACAAAACAAAACAAAAATCCTGGAAACTCACCATTACGATGTTTCTGATACCAGGGTCCCTAGCTGGTCTGCCTTCTTCTCTCCATTTTTCAATCTTCCTTTGTCTGTTTTATATATAATATCTAGGGAGTTTGGTTGTATTGGCAGGAGGAATAGGGAAAATTATGTGTTCTCCATCTTCCCCCCAATGAAGTAATCTGTTTTTATTTTTCTATCATCTAAAGTAGCAGTCTGGATTCAAGGAGTTAAGTTAGGAATTTTTATTTTATTTATTGTTGTTGTTAATATTTGTTGAATCTTTTTTTAAAGGGACGCTCTTATATACCTAGTGTTGACTAGCTCACTTAAACTTCACAGTTGAAGAAACCAAACAGGGAAGGTAACTTACTTGCCCCACATTACACTGGTAGTAAGTATCAGAAGCAGGATGTGAAATTTCTTCTCTGTACTGTTTCTCCCATCATGAGATAGATTACTATTGGTCTAGCAAGGAACAGGTACTCGCCTTATACTAATAACTATTACTTGAAAAGTAGCATTTGTTAAAGAAAGAAGAGAAGAAGGAGTTGCTATGAAACCAAAACAAGGAAGGACACCAAGGTTTCATGTCTAATTGGTGTCATGATTTGTTCACAAACTTCCATATTCTTAATCTATTACTCATATTCTATTACTCAACTATAAAGTAATGTCTTCTACATTCCTTGGAGCACATTTTTCTCCTATAATTTACTGTCTTTTATTTAATTTCCTCTCCAATTTATCAGTGCATTAACTTCTAACACAAAGTTTTAAAATCTTATTCATGTATGTCTAATATCACTAAACTGTTTTAGATTTAAAAAGTGGCTGTATTCTAGTCTACTATTTTCTCTAAGGATTTTTGGCACAATTTTCAAAACTGTTCAAATGTTCTCTCTACTTTTTTTCAGTTTTGAAAAAAATGTATATACACCTATATATATCTCCAATGGTAAATGGATACATGCACATATATGTATACATATATTTATTGTTCTTTAGATACATATACACATAATATGTGAAATATATATTAATTGATATAGAAATGGCTATGGATACATATGTGAAATAAAATAGTTGAAACAGTGTTAGCATAGATATAGATATATATCTCCAAGGAACTAGAGAAGTTACATCTTCCCTTTATTGCAGATTACATAAAATATATATTAATTATTAAATATATATTTATCCATTGAGGATAAAAAACTCCTTAAAATATATAGCGTGTGTGTGTGTGTGTGTGTGACAAAAAAATAACAGGGATAGTTTTCACATGCCATGAGGACAAACACACACAATCCATATATCTAAAACCAAAAAGTAAAACAGTTTTTCTTTTCTTCTAGACTTGGTTTAGAAAGGATGACTTGGGTGCTTCTAAAAACTTTATGTATGGTAATGAATTGTGAGACATGTCTTGAAAAACACCTTTGCATTTTTCCTCACACCTTGCTTGCTTGCTTGCTTTTTTTTTTTAAAGCTCAAAACACTTAAATATAGCTGTGGTTCCCCTGATGAACTTTTGTGTGATGAGTGATGATAGGCTTTTGAATCATTTTGGTGTGTTTGAGTGCAAACAAAGAAAATCTAATGGTGTCTTAGATCCTAAGGGCTCATGTTGCTATATTACAACAAATCTACAATAAGCACTTTCAGATTTCACTTACTGGCTCAAACACATTAGGAACAGAGAAAATTTTTTTTTCCAACCTGCGACAACTTGTTGTCCAGCATGTTGGCTTTCACCATCATAGAAGCAGCCTGTCTCTCACACTTCCTAGAGTCATGTCTTGTACCAGCGTCCCAAGCTGAAAGGAAGTGAGCAGACAGAAAACATTGAGGTCTGATTTTATCTATTAAAAAAAAAATTCCCTATATACCCTCGAGTAATTTTCCCTTACATCTGAAATACACATTTCCTTTTGAGGATATTCAATTCTCTTAGATGAATAAGTCTGTAGTTTATAAACATAGGTAAAACTCTTTAAGGCATTTTCATTATAGATAAGTAACCCGTAAGCAGAGTTTGTTAGACATAGGCAGAATTCATAAGATATGTTACTTACAAGATAAGTAGTTAATAAGTACAGCAGGTGTGTGTTAAACATAGATAGAAAGGGATGGAAGGAGATACCTAATCTTGGTGAGGCACCTGCATACTAAATGCTTATGATCTACTAAATAGGTGTGTGACTCAATATACAAGCATCTCAAAATATTCAGACACTAAATATTCACGTGGTCTTATTTGGCCATCCACTGGTAAAGCCCATTCTAGCCCCATGATTTCTTTGCTAAAGAAACAAAAATACATCATATGCTATTCTTCAGGATGTTTGTCAAGCTACCACTTTGGCCCAGTATCCAGATGTACTTTATCCATACCTCTCCAATGGAGCAAGAATCGTGGGCCCAGTACACCTTCTGTCTTTTGGTGCAGCTGCTAGAGTCTCAACTCTGGTACTCGTAGCTACACCATCAGCAGAGAAGATTGATGGGGTTGACAAAGAGACAAGACATACAAAGGTTGCAAACATAGAACTCAGGTAATATGGTCCTTCCGTCTTGCTTGTGTTTGGTAACTCCTGTGATTGGAGTATTTTGACTTGGTTTGTAAATCTTTTTGTCCCATGGCTTCCAGAATAGAGTGCCTGCAGTATATGTAGAGGCTGCCATTGCATCAAGGTCATATTCCACATGACAATATATAATGGACCAGAGATGGGTCCCAGAGCTATTCCAACTGGCAAGGGAGACTGGGAAAGTAAAGACCTGTCAAAGGAAACCCATTTGCTAAGATTGGCTCGTATCCAGTCAAGGCTTTTTCCTTGCCACTAGTCACAATGTTAGAGAACAAAACTGGGGTTCTATTAGCAAGAAATTAGAGTGTGAAATGACTGTTGGTAGTCAATTTTAGTCTCTGTCATAGAATTATCCTCTTCATTTGTAAGTCTGTGCTTCATTTTCTAGTTAACATTTTTCCCATATGGAGTGAAATGAAAACTGAGTAATAATCTCCTGCTTTTGTAAATGAGGAAATACCAGCATGGCGATATATAAATAACTGAAGTCACTCAATGGTTATTACCAAATTAAAGCAGATATAATATTGTTTATTTTGAGTTAGCTCTGTTACTCTACATTTTATTTTACATATTTTTTCATAGAAAGTAATTTCCTGAAATTTAATATTTGGGATTAAGAAAATTTCCTAATATGTAATACCTTTACCATCCTTGAATGAGGTAGAGATGGTGTAGAGCAAGTAGAATAGACACAGACAGAGGTGCCTTTGGTGGTTCAGTCGGTTAAGCATCTGACTATTGATTTCGGCTCAGGTCATGATCTTGGGGTCATGAGATGGAGCCCATGTTGGGTTCTGCACTGGGCATGGAGCCTGATTCAAAAAAAGAAAATAAAAAGGGAGGAAAAATAAAGAATAGACATAGACATGTTCAATGCTCCATAGAGTTTGCCATTTATGTAAGTTATGAGTTTTGAAAGAAAATATGTAAAAGTACATTAGTGTAGGAGATCCCTGATTTTTATATAAGGTCTGAAGTTTAAAAAAGAATAAAAATAGCTTACAGCCTTATTTTAAGAACTGAATATGAGAAAATTTACATAAAATACCTAGCACAGCACTTGTCTCATATTTGGGACTAAATGAATGGGTAGTTATTATTATCATTATTAATACCATTGTTGGCCTTAATGAATTTCAGTGTCATAAGAAGAATGCAATTTAGAAAGAAATACAGGTTTACTGTAGAATAAGAAATGTTAAAACTTACTAAATGTCATTTAAGACACATTTATTAGCCACTTAGAAAAATTCACTTTAGCATTCCTTTCACTATCCTGGTGCATTTAACATACTATTAATTTGCAAAGCTGATGAGCAAGAGCAAGTGATTTGGGTAGTAAAATTGTAAAAGAAGTGTGTGGACATTTAGTAATTGTGCTGAGGGATTAAGGCAATTATAGAAAAAATTCAGACTAAAAGTGCCATTGAAGAGAATTTTTTTAAACATTTATTATTCAGATGACTCATCTAAAATGGATAACTGCTCTGACTGATTATTGCTCAAGACTGTTTAATTTCTTTAAATGACTTAATCACTGAAAAATTTCATGTAGAATTTTGGATTTCAGGTAATTATTGAAGGAGAAAGAAAAGTTGCTTGGCAGTAGATCTCAGTTTGAAATTAGGAATAAAATGAGAACAATAAAACATGCACCATGAAATTTCTCTCAAGGTTAATGATAATTCAGTTTTAGGAACTATATATTCAGACATGGCTGGCTCTTTGCAAGACTAAAGTAAGTAGGAAGTTTGTCTTTGGTGGATCCAGTCATTACTCATTACCTTTTGTTTTACTCTGTGGAAACCCTCATACCCTTTCTCACCTGCCTCCATTTTATCTTACCAGTGACAACTTTCCACTGTAACTTGCTCTGAGAATGTATGTACTAATCAGTATGTTATCTAAGAGTATTTGCATTTTAAGTCTAAACTCCAAAAGTGGAATGAAAGCCTCTAGTTTTATCAACTATATTTTAAGAGAAGTAAGAAAGATTTTTTTGTTGTTTTGTTTTTCAGGAAGAGGAAGAAGGGAGCGGAAGGAGGGAGGAAATTCTAAGGGCTTTGAAATTAAGTGTCTAGGCAGGGTGACCATATGTCCTAGTTTTCCCAGAAGAGTCCCAGTTTACATCCTTTGTTCTGGCATAATTATTAATTATGTCCCATTTAACATTAAAAAATGTCAGGGCTTGGAGAATAAATTATATGGCCAACTAATTGTAGAAACATATCTATTTATTTTAGCCTAAAAATAATGGATCATTCACACACACAACAATTTAAACATACTTTACTTAAATACTTAAAAATGTTATCTAAGTAAGTAATAGATATATTTGTAAAACTAATGCCCCAATGAATATATAATACTTATCCCAAGCTTGTTTGCAGAAGTTCCTACCCTGACGTCTTATTCCCAGATAGCAAGCTTATTTGTAGAAGTCCCTTAGTCCTGACATCTTGCTTGCTTGTATAAGTTTCTTCCCCCAACATATTGTTCCCAGGTAACAAGACTTCTACAAGAATAGCTCTTGCAAAAAATCAGTGAAATTCCCAATTTATAGGTGTTTCCCAATGATGCATCTTTTTATATGTATAAGCTTAATTTTATTTAATATTTACATTAAATAATGATATTATATATTATATATGTGATATAGAGATAAATCAGATAAGATAAAATTTATAGCTACAATAACAAAAATTAAATCACCAAATTTCAGAGTTTTAACTTAATAGAGGTTTGTTTTTCATTCAATGAAATTCTGAAAGAGTTTGAGACTCTCTAGGACAGCTCCTTATAAGTTGCAATTCAAGAATTTGTTTGTCTATCTTGGGCCTCCATGATCTCAGCTCAAGTGGTCCAGAGGTGCTTCAGGAAAGGAACACAGAGCCTGGTTCTGGTGAAGTCTTTTCATTGCTTCAGCCTAGAAGTGACACTTGTCACTTCCACTCATGATCCATTGGTCAGAACTAGTAACAATTCTGACCATGAAGTATCCCTTTTCTACCTTATCACCATGAAAGAACACACTCATCCCCTCCCCATGAGAGACAACTCTTTCTATCCCATCACTGCATCTAGCTCAGAAGTCTAGAACATCTGGTCATACAACGGTCTCTACATCAAGTCAGTTGTAGCTCCATTGTGTTATGTCCCTTTGTACACCATGTATTCAGTGATTAGACTAGGATGGGGAAATTTCAATGAACACTTTCATTCAGAAAGAAGGAAAGAAAACATACCACAGTCATAAATCCATAGTAACTTTTAAATCCCACTGGGAAAACATGGTACAGTCTCTGATCTAGGGATGAGGTAGTAGGTACTTTGATTAACCCCTGATTCTTCTCTCTGGGAGAGAGAAGAATCCACTGTTTGCCCACTGTTCTCTGTGACCTTTGGCCCCAGGCTTTGGCAGGTTTTTTCTTTTCTATTACCTTCCATACCTGTGATGAGTTTTCAGAAATATGCCTTCCTTGGGGCTATCCAGCTTTCTATACTTGTTTCATATTGGTCTAGATTTCTTGATTTAGTGGAGTTAACCTATTAAAAGATAACAGATAAGGTGGAATAATGGGTAAGAGTGTTTTCTGTAGAATTGTTTTTGCTATCAAGCAGTTTGAACAATAGGTCTAAACCCATACCTCCAAAGTTACTTACCAGTTAGAAGTTGACATCCCCATTCCTCTTTGTGGGTCTCCCATATGTTTTATTTTTCACTTAGTTCTAAACTGAGAATGAAAAAAAAATTATTATTTTATTTCCCAAAATCTAATCAACATTAGTTACTTATGTTGCATTTTAAAGATAATAAATTTTACTTATGCATCTAATAAAGATGGTTTTGTAAATCATGTCTCCTCAAGGCTGGTTAAACTACTTTGAAGCATGTCTATCTTAATGGAAATCTTTTGACAGGTAGAAATTTCTGAATGTTACAGTACATTAGGCTCATTATTTTCATTATTCACAAAGAGTATTAGAAAAGTAAAAATAATTTATGCATGTTAAAGTAATTATTTTGTGCATTTCTGATCTATTACTATAATTAAATACAGTTTTGATGAAAATATATATAGAGAAAATAACATTTAAACAAAATTTACATAAAGGAACATATAAGCACTATACAGTATCTTTTTTATGAGTTTTACTGGCCTTGGTCTTGTACTTCAGTTAGCTTTTAATAAACATTTTCCAAGACTGTTTCTAGAGACTGTATAGGATTAATATCTCGCTTAGCTAATGGTATCATTTTCACCCTTTAATGTATTTCTGATGCAAACTCGCTTTTGGTGATACCATTTTGCTAATTTCATGACTCTTAATAATTATAATCACTCTCTCATTTTCTCGGTTATATCATGAATGAGAAATATCTTTTTTTAAAATATGTATATTTTCCTCCCTTAATGGAAATCTCAGAGATTTAAATTTGTGTAGTTACCTGTCTCATTCAGTGAATTCTGCTTTAAAACATACTTTTCCATAAATGTTTCAATGGCATTGAAAATACCATCTAATAAAGGAATCATACAAGAATAAATTTACAAATTCTTTCTCAATCTCAGTCCAGGTTTGTAATCTATTTTAATGTTTACTAAGGAACTTTGAGATACATTTCTCTGGGTTTTTCCTTTGGAATATTTTAAGAACCTGGCAGATAGGAAGAATAGTAATAGCTATTTAACAGCGTCTTCATAGTTGATACTAAGAGATTTTTGATACTTCAGTAATAGTAATGACTTGCATTCATTCAGTGCTTTTTCTAAGAGTGATTACTGGGCTACTGGACCAAGACCTTAAAATAGATTATAAAATTTAATCATAACCATTCAAGGAATTAAACAATATACTTCCACTTTATGCTAAAGAATCTAACTCTTAAGATTATATAATTTGGCAAAAGGATGCACCCAAAAGGCAAAGACAGGATTCTATCGCAATTCTTTCTAACTTCAAAAGTATTCATAAAAATTTATGTTGTGTAGACCCATTGGACCGAGCACAGTGCTCAGTGCATGCTGAGTGCTTAATAAATGGAGTTTGGCTTGCTAGAACTGAGAAAATCTAATATACCAGGAAGTACGATATTCAACCTAGAGTTTAGCAAGATATTGACTAATTTGTCTTCTAAATTATATTAAAAATCAATGACATGTTTGCAAAAGTCTTTGGAATGAAAAGAACTGTGTAAATGGGAGCTAATATTCTTCTGTGTTCTGTAATGTCCTTCCTGTAACAGTCAAGGGAATAATTGATTTTACATTGCTACTGTTCTAAAGCTTTCCTCTGCCTATAGACAGGCATCAACAGATGATTGTCTGCAGGTATTTGCCTGGGGAAAGCTATTCAATGTCAATGCAAATCAGGGCAGTTTCCTCAACTGTAGAAAGTTACTGGCAGGAACCTTGTAGGCATAGGTATATTTTAAGACAGTAGAACTGCACATTGTGTCAATAAATTGATATTACCAAATAACTAATTTTTGACCTTGATATCAGTTGTTTTCTTTTTTTTTAATGTTTTATTTATTTATTCATGAGAGTCAGAGAGAGAGAGAGGCAGAGGCAGAGGGAGAAGCAGGATCCCCGCCTAGCAGGGAGCCCGATGCAGGACTCGATCCCAGGACCCTGGGATCATGACCTGAGCCAAAGGCAGACGCTTAGCCACCTGAGCCACTGAGGTGCCCCAATATCAGTTGTTTTCTAATTTCTCTATAGTACACTTTATTTTAAAGCACATTACTAAGGCACTAAAAACATCGATGATTGTAAATAAGGTTTAAAACATACATGATTTTTAGGAATTTAACTTTCAAGTTGCTTGTATTATATTTTTTGACTAATGTGAATATAGAAAATTTGAAATAATACTCATAATAATAATTATAGCTTAACATTGTGCTAAGTGCTTGAATGCTAAATTTAGACAAACTTTTTCTAAGATTACATTTTATAAGTGCATTTTGATTTTTAAAAAATCTCAGAAATGGAATCCTAAACTGGCATTATCATTTGCATATTTTATCCATTACTTTTTGTTCTTCAAAAGAAATGATATTAAGTTTCTAATGACTTGGGACCCAGCCACCTGTCATGCTAAAGAATGCTTTCCTCTTCACAAGTAATATGATGTGCTAATTAACTGTTAAAATTTGGAGTAGGGGGTTGAGAAATAAAAATGATAATGTGTTATAGTGAAAAAAGCCAAACACTTTTCTATTTAGATTCATCTATTTTACTATTCCTAGTGGGACAGAAATTAGAGAAATTGTTATGCTAAGAAGAAACAATGTCACCTTTAAAAATAAATAAATCAATAAATTGCAATCTGGATGAGCATCTATGAAACACAGGCTGTCACACCAAAGATAGACTTTCTTATTCTTGAGGAAAATCAATATTGGTTCCAAATGAGTATATATATATGTGTGTGTGTGTATATATATGTATATATACATATATATACATATATATGCATTTTCATCAACAATGGTAGAGATATTTAGATATTAGATTTAAATCTAAATTTTCAGTTTAAGATACTGTCTTATTAGCTCTCAGACTTAGCCTCTTTATGTTAAATAGTTATCAAGACATAGAAAGTATAAAACTCAAAACATTGGAAACTAAGACTGGCTGACAACTCATTGCCAGAACATGAAAAATATTTTGGCTAACAACACTGCACATGTTTGAAAGCAGTTCTGAGACATAGACAAAGAGAGAGGTTACACATATATCATTCCACTTCCCCAGAGTCATAGAAGGATGCACACAATATGATCAATATCTCAGGCATTGAGACATTACAAAGGAAGAGTAGATCTTCCAGGATGAGTGGGCATGATGCAGTGAATCCCAGGATGTACAGATTTCACAAGAAAGGATGTTTTGATACAAGTGTAGGCTTTTATAAGAGAAATTTATTTTCTAGAAAATGCAGGGTTTTTTTCCTTCATTATTTTTCAAATTATCACAAAAACATGCTGGTATTAGAGCAGAGAAAACTCACACTATTTAATTTTGTTCAATGCTGGGAGTTATGTCAAGAGGTGTTTGTACAAGTCAGCTTTCTAGATACGGATAAGGAAGACGATGCAACCAGCAACCCTATGGGCAATAAATACCATATGGGCAGTTTACATCTCCTTTTGGTTGGCAAAGATCATGCCTGTATATATCTCTCCTCATCCAGGAAAGATTAACAATAAAAATCAATATGGGGCATATATAAAGAGTTCTTCAGAGTAAAGAAAAGACAATTTCATACTAAAAACTCTAAGGAAAAATAGACCTTTAGGTGGTCTAATAAATAGATGAGAATCTTAGAACAGTTATTTAGAATCCTTAAAAGACCTATTCCCTATAAACAGAAATAGACTGTTACCAGAAAGTAGAGAATTGACAAAGAATGTGAGTTTATTGAGAGTTATATTGTGAGGAATCTAAAAACGTAAATTAAATTAAAAATTTCCAATGGAGGCAGTGAAAAATGAAATTAATCTATTGGATCATTATATCCTTTTAAAAGACAAATTTGAGGAAGAACTGTATAATGTAGAAGAGGAAAAAACAAGATTAAAAATATGAGAGATAAATTGATAAGTATGGGAGACAAAGCCTAGTGATCCAGTTTAAGAGTTCCAGGAGCTCAAAGAAAAACAATCAATACCCATTAGAATTAACTAAAGAAAATTTTGTGGAAAAAAAACAATAACAGAGATCTACTATCTGAATGGTTTTATTATGAAACTGGTGTAATCAATCAATGATTCTCACCTAGTCCAACCATGTACAAATTCAACTACATTCAACTAAATGTAGAAAATCCTACATTCCAATAAAAATAGAACAAAACAAAATAATATATTTATGAAAGGATTAAATTTCATATTGGTTTAAAATCTCTGAAACACTTCATGGTAATATATATACACACATAGATATATGCTATTTGAGAATTTTATATTCATGCAAGTTTTGATTAATATTTAAAGACTACATATTGATTTTCTCAGAAATACAGGTTCAGAACTATATCATGTGATTACCATCTTGAAAAAAAGATACTTGAATCTGTATTTGTATTCTGTACAGAACAAATTAACATTAAGAACTCAAAATTTGGGGAACTGCTTTACAAGGGACAAGCATGGAATACTAATACTAGTAAGCTGTTGTAAATTACAAAAATAAATAAATAAATAAAATTGTAAGTTTGATGATAAAACAATAAACTCAATATAATTATTGAAATATTACAAAATTCAGAAATAAATTATATTATAATGTTAAAATTATATTTATTGTATATGTACCTTTTTACCACCTTCTCCCTAATTCTTCTACCCCTCAGACCCGGTAACTAATTTTCTACTTGTTTCTCTGAATTTGACTTTTTTTTTTTTTAAGATTCCCCATGTAAGTAATACCATGCAGTATTTTTCTCTGTCTGATTTATTTCATTTAGCATAATGCTCTCAAGGGTATTTCTACAGACATATATATTTCTATATACAATATATATTGTATATGTTTATATAAATTCGTATACATTTTATAATGCGAATCTGATTTATTTGCATGCATAACAATGAGAATTAGGACACTAGATAAAAAGGAAAGTAGTCTTCTGGCAAATGGAGATCAAAGCTCTTTAAGTAACTTAAATGAGGGCCAACTACAATGGGAAGACTTACGGTGTTGTCTTCAGAAGTTAACTCTCTTCACCTGACACTTCAGCAGGTCTTTCAAACAGGCCTTCCTGCTATTCCTTCTGCTGATTTCTTCTGAAAGCCAAGATGGTATTCCAGATAGTCCATGCTCTTCATGTGTTTATCCAGCAACTCACCCACGAAGTCTAAGGGGTCAGTTTCACTATTCTCAGAAGGTAAGATCTTTAGGTCTTACCAGACCTTGCTTAACATGGTCTCCATCAGAGCAGATTTTAGAACTTGTATGTCGCTTTCCCAGTTACAAACTTTCAGCTATCAAATGAATAAGGTCTAAGGATCTAATCTGTATATCATGGTGGCTAGAGTTGGTAACATTGTATTGTATAATTGAAATTTGCTAAGATCGTAGAACTTAAATGCTCTCACCAAGAAGAAAAAAAAAAGTAAAGTGATGAATGTGTTAATTATCCTATCGTAATGTATATATATCAATTGATCATGATGTACACTTCAAATATCTTAAAATTTTATGTCAATTATACCTCAATAAAGCTGAAAAAATAAATTAAAGTTGAATATAAAACTATAAGAATAATTTCCAAATGAACAAAAGAATAATAAAGTCCAGTCTTGGACAGTGCAGGGCCATAGAATCATGCTAAGTTACTTATCTTGGAAGTGGGAGCATGTTTGTGAAGGAGTTAGATTATAATAACATTATAAATCATCATATGAATTAATGTGTGCAAATAAATTTTAGAATCTCAATGATTCAATTAGTATCCTGGGTGGGGGGAGATACTGATTCAAAGAGCAAGACCTACCTTGATTAGGCAAACAATCATTGTATAACTGGGAGGAAAAAGTCGATGAGTAAACTCCTAGAGTATTTGAGGGCTAGTTGTTTCAAACATTTCAGTAAAAAGAGTAACCAGTAAGCAAAATTTTCTATGGCAAAGAAAAAGAGGGAAAACTACCACATTCATTTCTGTGAGGCACAATCATGATGTCATCACTTGATAAAGATTGCAACCACAAGGAAAAGTATAGCTTAAACTTTCTCCTGTAGGCAATGTCTAAGATGGTCTTCAGGGATTGTCATCTCCTGATGTTTATGTCCTTTCTTAGTTTTTCCCCTTGAAGGTGGGTTGCATTAGTGGGACTCATTTCTAAAGGAAAAAAATATAGCAGAAGTAATAGGATGTTACTTCTGAGATTATAAAAGTTATAAAATCATAAAAGCATTATGGCTTCTGTCTTGGACTCTTTCTCTCTCTCCCTCTCCCTCTCCCTCCCAGGAAAGCATGCAAGCCTAAGGAGAGGCCCAAGTAGTGAAGAACTGATAGCTTCAACCTCCAGTATGCAGGGTCCTGAGCCCTGCTAACAACTACAGGAGAGAGCTTGGAGGTGAGTTCTCCTCCAGTTCAGTCTTGAGATGTGTGCAGCTTCTACTGACACCCTGATTGCAGTCTCCTGAAGAATGCAAAGCCAGAGGCAACCAGCTAAACTGTTCCTGACCCACAAAAATGGTGGGTCAACACCAGCAAACAAAGAAATACAAGCAAATAAATAAAATATTAAAAAAAAAATTGTGTAAATATAGGTATGTATATTTGCATACTTTGTTACACAGGGCCACTATGCAAAAGAAAAAAAGGCAAAAACTGAGTAGAGGAAAACTCAAAAAATACATGTAATCATTAGTCTTCTTAGAGTATAAGAGTGAAGCCATAAATAATGAACAGAAAGATAAAAAACAAGTATTCATTAAACCAATGATAATAGTAACATATTCAGTATATTATATATACTTACATATACTCTATGTGTGTGTATAGGAATGGAATATTGGAAAATAAAGCTGAGGTAAAATCCTAGAGATAAACAAAAAATAAAGGAAGGAATAATAGGAGATGAAGGATAAAATAAGCAATAACTATAAAAGGTGAGCCCAGAAGGCCCAATTTCTGAATGAAAGAGTTGCAGCAAAAGAAAACTGAGGAAATATAAGGGAGAAAATTATCAAAGAAATATTTCAGGGATCACTAGAATTGAAGGAAATATATTACTAGATTAAAAAAAAAAACACTGAGAACTCAGTCAAATAAATTCAGATCCACAGCAAGACATGTTATTTTGAAAATTCAGAGCTCTTAATGCCTTAAGAACTCATAGAGAGGAAAAATAAGTGGGAGAGAGAGTTAAGGTGTTATTAGACCTCTCAACAATAGCCCTGGACACTAGAAGACAATGGGCAATACTTCTAAAACTTGAGGAAATAAATGTGATTTTAACCTAAAAATATGTAATTAGCTGAACTATAAATTAGGTATGAGGGTAACATAAAAACATTTTCAATTGCAAAACTTCCAAAATGATTTCTTCTCATGCCCCACCCTTAGGCTATTACAGTGGTCAACTTTTTTTATATAAAGATCCAGATAATAAACATTTCAGATTTTGTATGGACCATCAAGTCTGTGTTGCAGTCACTGGACTCTGCCCTTGGAGTGTGAAATAATCTATAGACAATATGTAAATGAATGAGCATGATTATGTTCCAATTAGCTTTATTTATGGATACTGATATTTGAATTTCATAAACTGTCACATGTATGCCATGAAATATTATTCCTTTTCCCTCAAACATTTGAAAATGTAACAATTATTTTAGCTCCTGAGTTGTATAAAAATAGAGGGAGAATCAGATTTGGTGGGCAGGCCCACAGGTTGCTGGCTCCTGGATACTGGAAGGTAAGCCTCCCCCAGATGGAGTTAACCAAGAAAGAGGAAGTCATAAAATCAAAGATATAGAGGATTCAGTGCAGGAAAGAGGGAAGTTGAATCCCCAGGAGGAAGGTGAAGACAGATCCTAGAAAGACAGTGAGGCAACTGCCTCAAATCACAAGACCTACCACCGATCTAGGTTGTAATAGGAGGAGAGAGAGCTCCGGAGAGATTTCAGCAAGGAAGACAATTTGAAAACAAGCAATATAAAATGAAAATGATAGATTTCCCAGTGTGTTCATTGTATTGAGAAGAACCTTGAAGGTTTATTGGAGCCTTGGAGAGAAGGAATCATGATGGGTATAGATGGAAAAAAAGAACAAACAAATAAATGAGATGATGATTCACAGGCTAAAATGCACAAACAAAAAAAGTCAGTCAAGAAAAACATTTAGTCATCATAACTAAGTCATATAGATCTGAAGAGTAGTTCATTAGTTATAACTCACAGAATATTGATTTTTTAAAAAAGATTTTATTTATTCATTTGAGAGAGAGAGAGAGACATAGCACAAGCAAGGGGAGAGGCAGAGGGAGTGGGAGAAGCAGACTCCCCACTGAGCCGGGAACCCAACATGGGGCTTGATCCCAGGACCTGGAGATCATGACCTGAGCCAAAGGCAAATGCTTAACCCTCTGAGCCACCCAGGTGCCCCTAGAATATTGATTTAATAAAAACCATAAAATGGGGATGCCTGGGTGGCTCAGTCGGTTAACCATCTGCCTTCAGCTCAGGTCATCATCCCAGGGTCCTGGGATCGAGTCCCGCATCGGGCTCCCTGCTCCGCGGGGAGCCTGCTTCTCTCTCTGCCTCTGCCTCTCTCTCTCTCTATCTCTCATGAATAAATAAATAAAATCTTTAAAAAAAA